CAAACTTGTGGGCTTTTATAGATTTTAATAGCCATAAAGAATGATAGATATGTTTACAAAAATCCATTTATAAGTTTTACAATAAAACATTTACCATTTTTTCATTGGATTTCTTCTGAAAATGTTGTAAATCAGTTCCACCTATAGGCATCTAGACCTATATGATTTTGAGGTCTATAAATATTTGCCCAAGTTTATCAATAAATATTGACCAGAATTGGTACTTTTTCTTGCAAAATCTATGATTACTGCCTGAAAGTATATTTCTAGGGAATCTACCCCCCCCCCCCCCTTGATGCCTATGGTTCCTCCTATAGTGTTTGTTGTTTCTTGAGTAAACAAAAGAAAACACATGAACCCTCATTATGATGCTGTGCTGGTACCGTATAACTTTTTTTTCTTTAGATGTAGTGCTCATGCTGTTCTGACATCATGACTTTAATACAATTCTGTTAATTGACCTGAATCAGAGACATAACTCATCCTGATGTTGTTTAATAGCCTATCATATCCTCTCACCTGACTTTATGAATATAGCCATTAGTTTTATAGCAGCCTGCCAACCTTTCCCTGATACTCATTCTTCTAATGCCTTATTTATTATAGGTTAAAATGGATTATGGAGAAATTTCATTATAAGTTATTGCTAGTTAGTTTTATATGTAATTTCAACGTTTTTAGTTACATCAAAACTGTTTTTTAAAAGGTTTTTATATGCTCACATGGAAATGTGGTCATATAGGCACAATTAGAAGTTTATCCAATTTTAATTATTTCTAACAATGCCTTCATGGACATCAAAACTGTTTTTTAAAGGGTTTTTATATGCTCACATGGAAATGTGGTCATATAGGCACAATTAGAAGTCTATCCAATTTTAATTATTTCTAACGATGCCTTCATCGGTTGTTGTCCTTGATCAGTTTATCCAGTGTTAGACTCAGAATCATAGTGAGAATGAAGAAAACCCTTTTCTTAAGCTTTGTTTCCACTCATCAGTGTTGAGTTGACAAGGACAGTATATATACATGTATAGTCATTCAACATTCCTTAGCAGTGAGATAAACTTGGACATGAAATGACCAAGATATTGTGTTGACAGAACATTCAACTCCATTCCTCTTTTATTTTTCTAAATTGAGGTAATTGTGAAATCTATGTTAAAGTCATTTCTACATTAAAGGTCTCCAGAAAATCTCCATACATTTTTATACGCCCACATTGAAATGTGGTCATGTATTGTCGTAGCCCCGTTCCGAAGTGCACAATTGCTTGTGGACGCTCTAAGGCTAAAGTTAATATCACTGATTTCTGATAATTACTGCCAGAGTTATGGCCCATGATCACTTTGAAAAGTCTTGTGGACGCTTTATAGAGGCTAAAGTTAATATTCAATTGACTTTAAATTTATACACAGTGTTTAAGGTCATGAGACGAAGAATCCTATTGATTTTCAACGATTTCCAATAATTACTGCCAGAGTTATGGTCCTTGATCACTTTGAAAAATCTTGTGGACACTCTAGAGGCTAAAGTTAATATCTGATTGACTTTAAATTTATAAGGGGGGTGGATGGCCGAATGGTTAGCGTGTGCACAATGTATCATAAGCTCTGTCATTGAGTCAACTGACGTGGTTTCGATTCCCTGATTGTATGTGACAAGGATTAGGGTCGCCTGTCCATCTTCGTGGGTTTCTCTGGATTCTCCGGTTTAAGGTCATCAGACGAAGAGACCTGTTGATTTTCAACGATTTCCGATAATTACCAGAGTAATGTCCCTTGATCACTTTGAAAAATCTTTTGGATGCTTTAGAGACCATAGTTATCGTCTGATTGATTATAAGCCATGTTTACGCCTATATATAATCTTTTCGATAGACTTTAGATTGATACATAGAGTTTAAGGTCTTGTGACAAATAAGTATATTGATTTTCGATATGATTTTTGATAACTAGGACAACTAAATCCATGATATTAAATGTTTTGTAAACTAAACGTTAGCATGGCCCAAACATATTCTGATAATTATTTAATGAGTTGTTACTCTTAATCAGAATTTAGTGTATTATAAATGTTTCATCACCGACAATGGAAAAAATATGCAACAACTCTTGTTGACTGCCCAGACGATTTAGCTGCTGTGGGCGTATATTTCATTGCTTGGCAACCTATCTTTTAAATAATGGAAAGAATTATGTCAATTATATCCCCTCCATAAATATAACACTATCCCAAATGTCAATGTTACCTGCCACAGGTAAATTACAACAGGTAGATCTCCACCGTTCTCTGTGAGTAGCCCTAACTTTCCGCCAATAATTAAAGAAGCCTTATTTTAAAAAATTATGAAGTTTTTCTTGTGATCTTTAAATAAAGAAATACACCCATTCAAGAGATTAGATCTAGCAAGAAAATTAGTTTAAATGATAGATATAGTAGGAGTAGTTATTGTAGAAAATAAATTTTTGATACTATTACCTCTATTATGATGGCCGCCTACATATTGGTGTACTCATTGAATGGTAGATGGATGATAGTATCAAGAGGTTAACGTGAATGAAGAAAGATATAGATTTCCTATAAGTTTGAATTAAACTTAGAACTCAGTGGATGATATCAATACCACTTCTTTCAGCTCCAACCTTGAAGCACAGATCAACAAGTGACTTCCATTTAATGATTGATCAGTTTAACATTTGCTCTGATTTATAATTTCTGAGATCATATGTTAATGTATCTTTATGATGTTAATGTATATATTGGTATGTCCTTGAAAATATATGATATATAGCTCTGAGGTTGAATTTGGAATTGGAACATGGAAATGCACCGTTTTTATACGGCCACATTAAAATGTGGTCGTATGTTGTCGTCGACCCCCATCTGTCGGTCCAGCGTCCACAATTGCTTGTGGACGCACTAGAGGCTAAAGTTAATATCCGATTGACTTTAAATTTATACACAATGTTTAAGGTCATGAGATGAAGAAACCTATTGATTTGCAGTGATTTCCAATAATTTACTGCTAGAGTTATGGCCTTTGATCAATTTGAAAAATCTTTTGGACGCTCTAGAGGCTAAAGTTAATATAAATTGTTTAAGTTCACGAGACAAACAATCGAAACAAATTCTAATGTTTTCTGATAATTACTTCATGGGTTATTACTCGTAATCCAATTTCCATGTGTTGTAAATGTTCTCCTTACTGACAAAAGAAAAAAAAAGTATGTGACAAGACTTGTTGACTGCCAGGACAACTTAGCTGCTGTGGGTGTATGTTTCGTTGCCTGGCAACCTATCTTGTTATTATGTATAATCCAAGTATAAAGAAAAATCCCTGAATAAGGAGGTGGGTTTTTGGGGTTTTTTTTAACGAATAAGCAGAATAAATATTACTTTATTTAAGACACATAAAGATGATGGGATAAAATCAAAGGAACGAATGTTTAAACTTTCAGTGAACATTTAAGTATGAATTGATCAAATTAAATCATTTTTTCTGACAAAAGTACCCGTGAATGTTCATCTCATTGTGTATACAAAATAACCAAATTGAAAGTTCCAAGGTTATGGGGTAGAAGAAGTAATACATTATTTCTCCATACAGCAGTCAAGAATCTTCTGATTGAAGTCCATGGCCTCAGGCAGAGGAAAAGACCTGAATTAACTGGCATCAGCTTGGCATTCCAGTTGAAATGAAAATTATAGAAAGAAAGTGTGAACTGATATCTTGCTTAGATCCTACTCTATAGATGTTTACATGGTGGAACAATGTAGTGCCTCATCTTAAAATGTCAAAATGATTCTTGATTTGTCATAGCTTTGCATGGCTGTAAAAAAAAATCCCATGCAGGGAAAATCCATAGAATCTGGTTTTATTCTGTTTTGAGTTAAATGTTGAAGTCAGGTTTTTTTTAATATAAATTTTTCTGTATGAATAATTTGCCGTCTGCTGACATTTCTGTCACACCGTCAGGTGTTCTCTTAGTTTCCAATCTACCACTCTTCGTAGAATGAGAATTTCCTGAAAAGGATTATCCGTTTGTGTGCCTCCAGACATTTTTGTTTGTATGTCTTTATAAAATCTTCAAGTATACAGTTTTATGTTGTAAAAATTATTGTAATATCTGTGTCAGCAGCAGGTGTTCCAGAAATCAGCAACCCATCTGGCACCAAGGGGAATAACAAAAACAAAAATGTTCACAAAACAAGAAAGCATATCAATAAATTTGTATCTTGTCAGTCTCTGAACTTTTAATACAATGGTTGTTATTTTTAAAATGTATTCCTTGGATACTTTATCAAATTATGTAAAATGCATAAATTTAATAGAAAGTTGTAGATGAGGCATCTGATCAAGCCACTGGCGACTGTTGTACATCCATCATGTAGGGTTTGTAATATTCAACCTGCCACATACAGCCCCAAGGCTACAGGGATTTTATATGTGGATTCTGTTATTGAATATCAATTTTTTCTGTATTGATTGTAAAATAGTTCCATCAACTGAGCCCTGATTCTGACAGGTGTCATGTATTCACTGGTAGATTTGTTTGCATTTTTTGTAGAAATTACCAGAAAAAATACCAGAAACATTCATATTGTCACTTAAGTGTTTTATGTATTTGTTGTCTCAGATGACATGTTAAAGCATGTGGGTAATTGCTCACTCTGGGTACATTTGTAATTTTTTTTGCGATAAAATTCTTAGCTTAATTCTATTTTGATATCCCTTTGACATGAGTTTATCAACTTGGACCTGTAGATCAATCAAAACTAGAATTTGCATGATCTAGTGAAACATGAGAGTCGAGTCATGTTATATCATAAAGTTGTGATATTAATAAAAGCACAATTGATTTCTCTTTGCCTTTGATCTTAATAAAATCATAGCATGATAAAAGATAATATGCTTTTATAAAATATTATTTTTGCAGAAAATATTTTCCAGAATTTTAAAAAAAAACAAAACTATTATTTAATAAATTTTCATTTTAGATACATCAGATGACTTGAAATGGAATCCTTGGGGAATGGAATTTGAGAATGACCATCAGGAACTTCCAGCATTACATCATGAAGCTCCGGCTATTAACTGGGGAGTTGAACGTGTACTGGGTAAAAGAAGTCCTCTAGACAGTAAAGATAATATAACTGATGATGTAGTGGTAGAGATATGGGGAAAGGCTGCCATAGGTAAGTTTTCTATGAGCTTACATCACAGATAAACAGTTTTCTACACATTACAAACAAAACATTCTCAAATTTACAGTCGGTTTTGGCAAAGGTGGTTCATGAAAAAAAACCTAATAAGACTTGTAGAAGAGAATTTCCCATATGTTGTTCAATACCATATTTAAGAACAGAAAACTTATGAATATATTCATTCAAATACTGGTAGCACCCAGTAGCAGTTTTTTCTATTTTCTGATTTTATAGCTATATCAGCATTTCTGATGTATTAGTTAATTGTATGAACTTCATTCAGAAAGTGAATCATTTTATTGACACAGTTGAGGTGGATTACACTCAGATTTCTATTAGAGGATTTTATGAATGAGAATTTGCCATGTGAAATTTGAATACTGTTACTATATTTACTATTTGCACATGTTACTACTACGGTAAAGGATTGTATTCTCTGTAAATGTCAGGTGCCTATTATTATACCACTTAAAATTGGCAGAGTATGCTTAGAATCTTGATGTAATTAAGCAATTTAGTTATGCCAAGAGATTATGATTACAGCATTGTTAAAGAAGATAGTCAACCTATTTCTATGTTTTAAAAAAAAGATAAAATTTAACTTCTAAAAAGTTGTTCTACTTCTGTGTGCAGCATTATACATATTTTACGTTACACTATCCTTTTGAGAACTTCATATATAGCTACCAAATTTTGTACTGCTTTTGTATTGAAATAAAACTGTTCTCTTTTCTTGTCTGGCACATTCTGGTAGATTTGTTTTAATTCAACTTAAATTATATAGAGTGAATTGTGCTGTAATATGATACATGACATGTATGTAGGCGTTAGGTCTTGGGACCACTCCCAAGCAGACAGAATTAACTATATTAATCTGATCTGCACAAGTTTGAAAACAAATTGTATAAGAAAGTTAGTTATCATGACATCTGGCTTATATCCAAAATATGTCTGATGTATAAAAATACTAGTAAATACATGTAGTATGCAGAATTAAGATATCTTCTTTATCTTATAAGGTTTTTTTTTTTTTCATTTTTAGGAATAAATCAGTTTGCTTGTTCAACAAGTTTATTATTATATTATTGCTGCAAGTATTTAAAAAAAATGACAATTTAAAAAAATTGACAATTTGAAAAAATTGACAATTTAAAAAAAATTGACAATTTAAAATAATTGACAATTTAAACAACATTGTATAAGTTTGTGCGAAGCTCATGCTGAGAATCAATATTCTGTTACTTTATCTTTAGTTCAATCACAAGAGCAATATAATTTTCAATTGACACACATAGCATTGTACTTAATTAAAGTCATATGGCTTGTCGATCGTTAAGCTTGTTTAACTTTGTCACCTGAGCACAAAAGGTAGGACAAATAAACTAGTTTAAAAATCCTGGCTCACTATTTGGTTTGGGATAGGCTTTATTCCTTAACTGGCTTATCTTGGCCCTCTGGATATGCTTACAGTAAGTACCATGTGAACACTATACTCTCCTTGTATTAGATACCAGTTTTACCATTTTTTTTTAACATTTACAGATCGTAATTATTGTTCATTTTGATTGGCTAATCAAAACCAATCATCAAGTAAATATTTCAAAACAGACTCTGCACAGCAAGATATAAGATTTAGTGACATTCAGGAAGTTCTGTGCTGTTTCAAATGAAATTTCCTTAACACTTCTGTCTTGTAAACGTTAATCCTATTCATTATCCTGGTACCTTAATCTGGAATAAACATCCTTGAGTTGTCAGTTTGATGTCTGCATGTAATTCAGTTCTTGTGAAGATAAAGAGAAGTGAATTCGATATAAGGCAACCCCAAAAAAATTATTTCATTTGCAGAACTTCAAAGAAATGACTTTATCACCTATCTTTTTAACAATGAAGATCGAGGTATGTCAAAATGTCTCAGCCAATTTTCTGCCTTGTTACCGTCTGTAAAATCTAATACTGCACAGATCTCCTCGTAAAGCTGTAGAGATCTTTTTCTGATCGTCACGAGAAAATGAAATTAATCATTGCATGGTGGACAAAGCACAAGATCTATTGATGAATGTGTTTTTGGTTCAAATTGATTGAAGTGTTGGTAAATTAAATGTAATAAAAAATGATGTACCAGGTGATGGATTGGAGCATTGCCACATTATATATCCAATACAGACTGATTTATTAGCCTATCGGGTCTAAATCCCTATAGAATTATGTTGTGGTGTTAAGACTGTCAACTGTAGTTCTGTTTTCTACTGTCAGGGCTTCAACTAAATTCTTGTGAGACCTCAAAACTTGGTTTCAATCAGTGGGTGATAAATCAAGTCTGTTGATATTCTTGTAGTTATCCATTTTAGATTCTTGTCCACATAAACGTGCAAATTAAGATTACTGAACATGAACAAAGTCATCAGATCTCTTATAATAATTTCTGTTGATGTACAAAACTAAAACCCAATATTCTGTGCTATAAAAAAAACAATATAATGAAAATATATCTGCCAAGTATTATTTTGAAATACTTTGGTTATACTGTTATCAGAGGATGTATTATGCCTATGAAAATAAGATAAGATTTTATTGTATTAATACGCCCATTAAGAACAGCATATACATATTAGTTAAACAAAAACAAAAAATAGTACTATTAAGAACAAAAAAATATGTAGTAAAGAGAAATACACAAAAACAATACACCATTTCAAATACAACTATCTTCATTTACATTTATTATAATGTGTCTATGAGTTTGGTTACAGAAAGATCATTAACATAGGGAGTTCATAATGGACAACAAATTTTTGTTAGATATGCTTTTGTAATTAACACTATCGGCAATATTATTATTATCCAATATACAATTTTAATCATGATTTTAAAAAAGTTTCAATTCATTTGGGAATGACTTTTTTGTGTCAAAAATGCAGTGATTGTGAAATGATATATTGATTATTTTTTCATAAAAACTAGATGCATGCAGTGTACAATTACATGCATCACGTATTGGTTTCGTCCCAATAGGTCTGGCAGTTTTATAACCTATAAAAACATGCAATAAGCCTAAATATTTAGTTAATAATGCTCAGATTAGATATTCCATAATAGTAAATCACAAATCTGATTTTGGAAATTTAGTTATTCAAAATTTATTTGTATACGCCCACATGGAAATGTGGTTGTATATTGCTGTCTTTATGTCCACAGTTTCTTGCTGACACTCTACAGACTACATTTATCATCTGATTGTTTTTAAATTGACATATTAAAATATGTTGTATACATCAGTGAGATGAAAAAGTCTATTTAATTTCAATAATTTCCATAAACTTCTTCTGGAGTTAGGGTCCTTGTTTCACTTTGTTGGACCTTGTGAACACTGTAACAACAAAAGTTATCATCCGATATGTATGAAATTCATATGCATCATTTAAATTAGTGAAATGAAGAAACTTATTGAATTTCCTTTAATTTCTTCTAGAGTTATGGCCCATGTTTCACTTTGTTGAATCTCATGAACACTCAAAGGATGAAAGATATCATTTATATAGATCAGTATGAAATTTATATGCATCATTTAGATAACTGTTTCTAGAGTTATGGCCCCTGTTTCACTTTGAACCTTATGAGCCCTTGAATGACAAAAGTTATCATCTGATCTGTATGAAATTTATATGCATTATTTAAATTAGTGAAATGAAAAAAAGCCTGTTGAATTTCAACAATTTCTGTAAATTATTTCCAGAGTTTAGACCCTTGTTTCAGTTTGTAGAACATTATAATCTGATCTGTATGAAATTGTTTTGTAAATGCCCCCAATTACCTACAAAAGAATAAATATGTGACAACACTTGTCGACTGCTTGGACGAATTAGCTGCTGTTGGCGTATGTTTCGTTGCCTGGCAATCTATTTTTATGATAAAAATTGGTTAAATCTGTGTGAATCATGCTGTTAAAAACAGTTATCCTCTTCATTGGTGGATGCAGGGAATTTGGTTAGGGTTGGGGACTGGCGAAAATTTTGAGAAATCGGGATATCAGTGGTGATTTTGGGTGCATATCTGGAACCAAAAGTATGCTGCAACAAACTAAAAGTTCAAATTAAATGTTTTACCAAAACCTTCATCCGCCACTGGTCTTGTGGAACTATCTGACAAAAGAACCGATAAAATGATGCAAATCTTTTAATCGGTGTTAGTTAGGTTCATGTATAAAAACATAGAAATAGAAAAGGATCAAATGTTTAAAAAGCGGATGTCTAGCATAATCTTTAGAATACTTGCATATATATGATAGTTACAGCACAACCATGATGATTAAAATAAATATTTGAGTAGTTTTTAGAACCGTGGCTTGTATGATGTAGTAATCCATGGCAAATAAAGAAGTTCCATGGGACTGGTTGAAGGAAGATTAATTGCATACTTGTCAGAAGGAGTTTGTAATCTTAACTTTATATTCCCTCTCAGTGGAATTATTGAGGAGAAAGTTGTCGTTTTCTTGAAAATTATTTCACCATGAATTAAAAAAAAATAGTGTAGCTTCAACTTATCCAATCGGAATAACAATCCAAATACTGTCTTTTTTTATTGTCAAAAGTTTACCCACGATCCTTGAACTTGTTTTCCAGTGGCTTTAAATTCCAGTATTTCAACAGTTAACGAGACGATAAATTTTACCACTCTAATTGAAGTATTGTAAATTGGCTATCACCCCCTCATTTAAACATTCTCTATCAAAATAGATAATTGGCAATTAGATTGATTTAGTATTTGAGTGCTGAAGGCCAGTTTCTACTTCTAGAAACAAGATGGTTTAGAATTAAAGATGTGTTTGACCAAAGTTCTACCAAAGATGACAAATAGAAAGTCAGTTACCATTAGCCGCATCTCCTTCAAGGCAAATAGAAATTACATTTACCAACAGGAACTCTTTTCAGCACAATTAAAACCCAGGAGACGGAATGCAAACGGGCTGAAAGGATTTCGTGCAGTATGAT